TCGTTTCCCTTCCGACACTTGTGATTAATGGAAAATGTGCAAAACAAGACCCCAACTCCTACACAGCACAGGGTTCTGTCCTTGATGCCCTTGTAGATCCTGACACACAGAAAGGACAATTGGTATGAAAAGGCCTCAAAGAGCAGGAGCAAAGAGGAAAAAAAAAAGAAAACCTACAAACACTGTTTTTCTACAGAGCGCACAGTGCACAAGTCCATGGCAGCTCACCAATTCATACAGCTCAAGCTTTGGGACCTCAGCTGAATAAGTGAAGGTTCACATGATGTTAAAAGTATCTACAGCATGAATTTTCATTGCCAAGATAGGATAGGTTTTGCCATGACAAGCGTAAATGTTTCTATATTCTAGCTGCAATGTTGGACTGATGAGTAGTTGCTCTGATCTACTCAATCACCTTCACTGGAGAACTCCAACTCTAAACACAATTCAATTGCACAGGTAGGTACCACTCCCTACCAGTTGCAAGCAGTGAATTGATGCTTACATTCCTGCAGACAGGAATTTAACAACAAAACAAAACAAAAAAAAAAATCAGTAGTTCTGCAGAAACTTATTTCTGAGTAACAAGACGGCATGTGAGCCAGTAGTGGAGTTCAGCAGCAAGACTCCTGACAGTTACCAATCCATTTTCCCCTTGCACCAGGCAAGGTTGAGGAGTTCAAGAAGCAAAGAACAGCAAAAGGGTTTTAGAATGTTTGGGCAATAGATTTGTACTGAGCAAAATACACTTGCTTGCACAGCATGCACAACTCCCACAGACACAAAAATATGCTGCTTTGTTTTTTTTACCTCCTGTATTCAGGAGTGTGTTTAACCTTGGAGCTGTCAAGCCCCATCATGAATAATGAGCCATGACAACATTCCAAGTGATCCTTGGAGAACAGACCAATTTTCACTATATGCTACGCAAGGCAAAACACTTATATTCCCACGGTACTGTACCTGCTTTGAAAATATACAGTAATGTGGCCATCAAGAGGGGATCACAAGTAAATACAGAAAAAATAAGCTACTTCCTAATATTTCCTCACCTACAAACACAGACTGAGGAATAAACCATGTAACATCCTAATGGTTCCTATTTAAGATTAAACCAAGACTGAGAAGGAGCTTTGTCTTACTGAACTTCACACAAATGTTTCACAGCTAACAAACATCTGTGTTTGAAACAATCCACAGTGGCTACAGTATGAAGCAGAAGGCTCTACAGATGTCACAGCACCACGCTTGGTGACCTCTAGCATGAAGATGGGACAGGAGGGTGGCCTCTGCCCCAAGCGGCCCTCTGAAGCCCTCAGAACAAACATACCCCACCCCTCCCAAACACAGCACTGCCAGAAAGTATAGAAAGAAACTGTAGTTTCTTGAATGACTGATTGAAGCTCCTCTACACCAACACACTAACCATGCCAAGGCAGGTCCTTAACAAGGCACAGCACAGGTAAACAAGCAATGGCAAAAGGTATTTCTGCTGTGCATCTCCCAAGCTCAAGGGGAGTAGGAAAACAGAGCAAAAAGATTCATTCAAAGGAATGAAAAACTAGGAAGAAACAAGACAAAGATTTAATAGGCATTCAACTCTCTCCTAAATAACGGAGGGTTGTGGTTCCAAACATCAAAAAAAAAAAAAAAAAACACCAACGCCACCTGTTCAGGAAATAAATGCTAATTCATTAACATGAACCTGGAAAACACCCATGTTCTCTAACAGACCAAGCAGCAAGCATCTGTTCGATGTTTGGGCAAAGAGGAAAAATAAACACATCCTTATTCCTAACCGGTTTGCACCAAGGTATTTGTTCATGGCTTTGTAGTGGGAAAAACTTGCCTTTGACCATTTCCTAGACTCCTTGCCACAACCAAAACCAGTGCCTCACTTTCCCTCCTCTGTAGGGGCACCACTTTACTTACGCTTCAGCTTCAAAAGTTACTATAAACTATGGGAGCTTTCAAAAAAGCTCTGGAGAGCAGGAAAGCAGCAATGTCAGACAGGAGATGCTTGCATTTCCTTAAGTTGCCACATTTGCAGTGTCAGACAGCAGAAATCAGTCCTGAGCACTTTAAGGAGTTTTAAGTGCTAATACATCTCCCTCCCACTGAACTGCTGTTAAAAACCGAGCCCCCTCCTGCAAGACTGGATGGCTTTTAGAGAACCAAAGTCAGAAAATCTCTTGAGTTCTCGTCTATGGTTGAAGCTGGAAAAGAGCCTCTACCACTGAAGCAATAACATAGTCACACACGATAATGTATTTATTGAGACTTTAGTTTTCCATTTGGGTGTATAGCCACCCATACCCCTCCTCCACCTGCTCTCCTTCCCCTCTACTCACCTCTTCCACATATAGGGCATTTTGCAGCTACTCACATCATACTAGATCTCCCTCCCCCTGCAGCACTCCCAAATCAGCAAGACCTCTACTGTCACCACTCACAGCACTACCACAATCTCTGGTTCAAAACAGTTCTGCTCTTAACAGAGGACTCGCTCAAAGTTGTCCCCCAAATCACAGGGACAATAATTTTCTTTTTGGCATTATAGTTAAAATGTCCTCAGCCTTCCGCACACACCGTGTCAGTTTCTCCCACTCCCTGATAATATATTTCCATTTATGCCCCACATCACAGCTCTGCACGCTTAGCAATTCCATTCCCTGCTAGCAATATTTGGCAATAAGATCCCTTTAAAGGCGGCTAATTACAGATTTCACTTGAGCAGAAATTGGTACTGGGCCAATTTGTAAGCTCTTTAATAAGCTTTCAAACTTCACTTCTTGCCAGGCAAGACTTTATTGTGCACCAGGAGCAGTGACGTAGCTCTAAAAGCAAAGGTGGAAAGCTTGCCACTGCAAGAGCAGAAGGGAAGGTCACAGCTTTAATTCTTCTTGCAGCACTGCACCTTCTCCATGTGAGTCTTTTCCTGGAGATATGCTGCCTGTGTCTAACAAAAGAAAAATTAAGGGCCAGTTCAGATACCATGAAAATAATGAAAAGTAGTCACAAAAAAACCCTGTCTGACAGTTGTATCAGAAGAAGAACAAAGACCAGTATGACAGAAAGCAGGTCAAGGACTCAAAAATTAGTAACTGATAAAATTAAGGATGCAGGGTCACGTGCACACATAGAGCATGGCATTTTCTGAGAACATCTCTCTAAAAATAGATTTACAGTTTTGAAAAGGATGGAGGAACCCAAGGCAAGGTCTTCTCAAGCACCTCAGTATCTAGTCCCATAACAGGACAAATGTTTTCTGCCTACGTACACTAGACTTAGCACAGAAAACAGCAATCCCACCTGTGGATGTTCCTCTCCACCTTTGTACTGCTGCCACTTTTGCTCTCTGTAAGTTGTACCCGCAACAGCTAGTAAAATCACATTTCAGCCAGACCATTTTTCTGAGGGGAATTAATGCAAGACTCTGGAAACCACTCTCTGTGCTGCCTGCCTGATAACTAGGGTGGAAACTGAAGAGGGTAATTAATAAAATGACAATCAACAGAAAGATGGTCCTGTTTTGAAGATACAGGACTAGCACCCAGGAAAAGTACACCAGAACTTTCTGTGCAAGGTTATACAATTTTCCACTGTGGTCAATGACTATGTGGCATCACATACAGATATCACGTCTGATAGGCTAAAATACTGCCGTTGGAGTGGCTGACTGACAAAAGAATCCCAGCTAGAATCTGTGGGAACCACATGCACTGAGTACACAGCTGTTAGGAAGTCTCCAACTGGGAACTCAACCCACAGGCATTTAAAGAAGAGTTATGAGTGTTACATATGTAAAGCATACACATCAATAATGTCTATTTGACAGATTAAACCCATTAATATCTACAACATCCTCAGCTTTTAACATACCTAAAGGTTTTCCCCAATGGGAGATGCCACACCAAAACAATGACTTGTGACAGTAGCAGATTTCTCTCCTATATATAGGCAAGCCTTTAAGTGGCCAACAGGACACTCTTGCAAAAGAGCTACACACCTACTCTCTAGACACTACTAAAACACATTTTAATTGTCTTGGGGGACACCTTTGGGGGCCAGAAAACAGAGTCATAGTATAACTGAAAACCTTCACACACTAGTTTTGAAAGGCAAACCAGAAGTCTTGACCACTGCCCAACCCCTAAAAGCTGAGAATAAGGAAGTGGCAGGAAAGGAACAACCTTTTTCCAGCCTTATTCTCTGACGTACCCCTGCAGATTTTACGGAAACATTTGCAGAGCTTCCCAACTGAAGACAGGTCTAGCTGGAAGAATTTAATCTAGAACCTCAAGACTATCAAAATATGAGTACCTGAACACAGACTACCATAACAGGAAACAACAGGAAACTCGAGATGTGTGTTAATAGATGCTTTCATTATCAACACGTGCACACACAGAGCTTATCCTAAGTGCCAAGGCATTTGAAAGGTAAAGCACTGTTCAAATACGAGTATTTGCCAGCAGCTGTATCACCACCATATTCTCTAGCTGGTTTTGGTTCAACTCAGTGGACATGAAGTTAATCCCACAGGACAGTATCATTCACTTTTATAACAGCTACTGACTTAATTTGTGTGTTTGAGCCCTGCTGTAGTCATGACTAAATGTGGCAAGCAACAAATCACACACTGTCAGCAGCCAGTGCCTTGCCTTTCTCCTTTCAAAGCTTTCATTCATTTCTGCATTTTTTGAAGTCATGCTGTTTCAAAACAGCTGATCCAGATGGTGGATATTTGGATTTCAACCTTCCCACATGGTGATGTGGCTCAAGAAAATAAAAACTGTTGCTACCTGCTGCTGACCTACTTCTTTCTTTAATTTGTTTCCTGCCATACAACAGAACAATACAGTTCATTGAACTAGTCTTCCACATCTACCCAACACTATGTAGCAAATATAAAATAAAATTAATAGAGGAAGGAAAACAAACAAAAAAAGGCAACAAGATCCAGTGGGGGGGCAGGGGTAGGTGGAAGCAATTCTCACCTCTATCATAGTCATCTTCTTCTATTGCTTTTTCCTGAAGCCTCTGAAGCCGTAAGATCAAGGATTTTATCTATGCAAAGAGAAAAAAGTTCATTATGAAGAAGCTGCATTTAAAAATATTTAGACTATTAACCTCTACATAATATAAATTTAATGGACTACTACATCCCTACAATGTCCCAATTTTGAGAATCAAGCCCAACATTTAAGTGGACAGACCTATCTAGAAGTCAGCTGAACTGCAGCTACTTGAGCCAAGCACGTCTTTAGACCAAACATAGAGAACAACAAACAATATTTCTTGAAACACAAAAGAGATCATGTGATCGCAGAATATTTGTCACCCTTTAGATAAATCAAAGCAAGGATTATTAGAGAATTCTGTCAGCATGACATCTACTCCTGATCATAGTGTACTCAACAGTGTGTTCTTGAACCCATTCTAACAAATTTTTACCTATATGAGTTTTGCACAGAACAAATCCAGAATTTCCGTATGCAAACTACATTTTCTTCTGTAAGTAAAAAGAAGTACAGTATGAATATTTTGGAACAGGTATACTCATTTTATGGCATACAAATCTGTGTTCAGATGCAGCCAATGAAGTTTCATCAAAATACAATTTAGTCTCATCTATATAACGTTGACATCTGCATTTTCAGAAACGTTCGCACTGCAAATGCCAGATGTGGAAAAAAAGCAAAACACCAAGAATACATATACCACGTACAGAACGCCCTTTCACACCCAAAAAGAAACTCTAACCATAATAAAGTTTTATTTCAAAAGTTACTACTCCTCTTTGTTAACATGAAGTGTCTAGACCAAAGTTCTAAATTTACTGAAAATATGTAAGGCTAGGCATGTGTTCAAAGGTCATTACAATTTTTTACTGCTAGAAGAATTTGGTTGGAAGGCAGGCAGTCCTCTCCTCATTGCCATGCCAGCCACCACCCAACATGGCTACAGTTACAAGATTGAAAAGTGTTTTCTTCTTATCAAATTTATACATGACCTGTACCAAACAAGCCATTATCGACACTGAAAAAGGTAAGCCTGGAAAAAGTAGCATATATTCTCATAGCCCAAAGCCTGAAAGTGCTTGGGAAAGTGTTTTCCAGCACAAGAAAATCCATACTTTAGATATTCTGCATTTACAAAAGGTTTCACTCCTCCCTGAAACTCTTTTGTATTTAAATCCCTATATTTAAACTCCAAATTGCATAAAGAAAAATAGGTACAGCCAGTCAACAACTTAATAGAAACACTCAGTTATCATGTCTACACAATCAACACACAAATTAGGCAAGACATTACATTAATAGTATCCCTTCTAAATATGGTATGTGAAAGTGGACTAGTCAGAAAAGGACTATAAAAAATAAAGCCAGAAAATAATTTAAAAATGCTTGATTAATAGTAGGCTATAGGATGCCCCAGAGGAAAAACAAAACCAAACAAAAAGCAACATTGTATATACTCCCTTTACTCCCTTTTCCTCAAGGCTTTATTTTATTTTGTTTTTCACACCCCAAAACTCCAACCTTTTTTTTCTCTGAGGCTGGTGAGAAACATGTAACATATTGAAGGGAGGAGCACTGAATCCTCAATGTAATTTATTTTCTGTATTT